GGGGGGGGGGGGGGGGGGGGGGGGGGGGGGGGAAGAGGGTCGTGTAAAATAGTTGGCCTTTCTGGTTGAAATGTAATGTATGTTGTTTCCAATGTACTCCGTCGTGCTAAGCTTTCGGAAAAACAGCAGTCACCTGTTTTTGTATTGTACTCAAACCACAATCTCATCTCGTATGCAATGTGTGGAAGAACGGTGCTCAGATTTTTGTTGTTGCGCAGCTTTTTCCAAGAAAATCCATTGCAGCTTTATCCCGGACTCTTCTCTGTGGATGGGCATGAACTCGTCGTAGAAAAACGAAAAACAAAAAAAAACATTGGAGGGCAGTCTGACCGGCTGTTGCGCGTGTACAGCAGCAGTACGAATGCAGGCACATTGCGAAAAAGCGAGACCGGAACAGTTTTCATCGTGGAGACAACAAACATCAATGACCTATTCACCTACACCTACATACTTACAGCTTGGGATTTTCAATGCGGCGAGGCACGTGCACGATGCCCGAAGATTTTTTTCATTTTGAAGAGGGAAGGGGTTGCACTGCAACAGGCTTTCTCTCGAATGTAATAACAGAAGCAGCAAGGTGGTATGCAACAGCAGTCTCTGTAGACATTGTTCGATTTGACAAGCTGTTAGATAAAGCAGCATAGCGGTGCAGGGTGGTGGACAGAGACTGTTATAGACAACCGATCATGTACGTGAGGCCCTCTGAGCGCGGAGCATTGCTTGGTGTCACGCCAAGCATTGCCCGGCCACGCGAAGCAATGGTGTGATGACGTGCCGAAGTGACACAACGCGGCTATATTATCTTCCGCGTCTTGAGTCTATTTCGCCGCAAAAAACAGGATACCATATACAGGTAAAGGATATAGGAAGATATCGGCAGTTGGTCAACCACCCCTTGGGGGGGAGGGGCTGTAAACGTGCTTGGGGTCGGCGTATGACCTCTCGATGAGCTGCTCATGTCCTCCAAGTTTATCCATAGTTGGCTCTCGGTTGTTGTACGCACTGCTGCGGAGCGAAAATCGAAGACAAGACCAACCGCCGTTCGGGACGCTGGTCACACGCTGCTGGCAGCGATACATTTGATCCCAAAGGAGACCTTACGGAGTCCGGCAACAGAAAGAAAATGATGCATAATGCGAAGAATGGACAGAGAAGTACCTATCCACAGGCAACATCAAACATTATGCTCCCATGCACGCATGGCCGAGAGGGCGAGCGGAGTACGGCAGTTGGCCAATAGGAAGGAGACACGAGATTTTGAGAGCCGAAAAAAACAATGATAATCTTGACTCAAAAATTCAAACGTTCAGACACGGGCAGCGCGCTCTGCTCGCCGCCATCGCCAAGTCATGACTCTGTACCTGAGCGATCTCGAGCCCTAGGCGACGTTTCAACCGCTGCTCTAGCACCGCAATGTTGAACCCGAACGGCGGCAGCTCGGTAGCTTCATCAAGCACCGCCATCTTCGCTGCGGGAGGCAGCTCGGAAGCGTCTGTGACTCTTCTTTTCTTGGTGCCTGAACCACGCCCTCGACTTCCTGAAGAAGCTGTAGCAGCAGCAGCAGCAGCAGCAGCAGCAGCCTGGTTTTGGCCCATCACAGGTTCTTTCCGAATGGTGCGTGAGGTGTGCTTCCGGTCTGCCATGCCGCGTGAGGGCGGTGAGCGGTGCGTCGAGAGGAGCGGGCGTGGAGATGTGGAGATGTGTGGATGGTGTGTGGGTCGTCCGCGTAATTGCGCCGCGTTTTTGGTGCCTGTTGGGCCCGGGGGCCCGGGCCGAAGTAACGGATTGTGTACCAGTAGGCCTTTGCTCCATCGGCCGTTTTGTTTGTATGACGGAGAATAAGAAGGTGAAAATACTACGAATTAGTATGGAGAAAAAGTTTGTGTATCTAAATCGAAAACAAAACGGCCGATGGAGCAAAGGCCTATGTAGTGTAGAGAGCGAGCCAGCGTCGCCGACCTTGGCGGTAGGTAACCAAACTGCCTCGCAGAGGGCAACCTGCAAACAAATCAGTGTGTACGCTTTCCCGAAAGCCATCTCGATCGCTCTGTAAGACAACCCCATGCACAGCAGTCCCACGCAAAAAATGTGTCGCCCAAAAACACGGTAATATTTTTACCGTCAAGTAAAGAAGGCAACGATCGCGTCGAAAACCGACAACATGCACGGGATTCGAACGGTGGATTCAACGCGTCGTGCACTTGCAGTGAAACAGTTCGGCTACTGTCACGATTTTCACGTCTTCGCATGGAAATATGTACCCTTCTTTGGGTAGTTTGCGTGAGACCACGGAACGCTCTGTGTCGGGTGGACCCGTCAGAACGGATATTAGGTGCTGAGCGGGGACGGACGGATCCGGAACGGTTTTCAATAATAAACAAGATGGGCACTGACGACCGTAAAGTCTATACACGTACAGATAACCATCTGAACGTTTTCTGCGAATGAATGGCTCGTAGGCGCGGTGTTGAACACATTCTATGTGTGTATCGCCATGTAACTTCGGTATGGACGAAACTATCAATAAATTTCTAAATTTCGGCATCGAAATTGTGCCATTTTTTTGGCACCCACAGGGACGCATATAAGCCATGCACCCACACCTTTTTTACCGACGGAAAAAAATCCTGTGTGAGGAACGAGCGTCACGAACATGTATGCGTTTCTTGTTTCTTCCACCTATCGCTCTACTACAGGCAGGCGCAGTTTTCTGTCCCTCCAACCAGCAACTTTCATGAAACGGGCTAAAATCCCTAACGCACCAAATAGGTGCTAGGTTGACGTTGGGTGGCTCAATTATAGGTTGGTGTGCCTACATTATTTGGGCTAGGTTAGCGCTGGGTGGCTCGGTTCTAGGTTGGTGTGCCGGCGTTGGCGCTAGGTTGGTATTGATGGGATACGCTATTGGTTGGTATTGCTTGGATAGATAGGTGGTAGGTTGGTGTTGACCTGGGTAGTAGGTGCTAGGTTGTGTGGGCCTAGGTCGCTCTTGGTTGGGTGGTTCCGTCGGCAGAAAAAGCGTGGGTGAATGGCTTATGTGCGTCCCCATGGTGGGTGCATCGAATATTTTTCCAAATTGTGCAAGCAAGTTGTCGACCCCCCCCCCCCCCCCCACCCCC